AGTGAATATAGCAAGCTACGGTGGAGACGTTTCTGATGATAGGCGTAAATATCGTGTAGATGAAAGGAGTAGTAGATGGTCTGAGTATTTGGCGGCGCAGATTTCTCTATCAAATGATTTTCTTGTTCATGTCGCGGGTAACAATTGACTCGTACCGCGCAGCGGTGCGCACATGGACTGAAGGGATTCTACGGATCAGACAGGTAAGGAGATACAGAAGGAGTGACTCTGAAGTGGTCGATAGATATTGAAACCGGAATTACACAAGGAGGAAAAGATCTAAGGATGGATGCTAGCCGAAGAGGAGGTATGTTGCAACACTTTCATGTGTTTTTGACTCTGCTGATACGTCTAAGTCTACTAGGATTGGAACTGTCTCACGTTACGGAGGAAGTAAGTAAATATGTTAGGCAGATATCAGAACAAAGAACGCCATAAGACGCCCAAGCTGAGAGGTGAGTCAGAGAGAGAGAGAGAGAGAGACTGGACGAGGGAGCACACTGCCGAAGGTGAGTGACAAATACGAAAATGATAGAGGATAAGGCGAGGAGAATACCGCCGGGATGAGGTAAGTGAATTAAGTCCACCGTCGGAAGGATCGCAGCATGCATCACTCATGACGCTAACGCGCTTGAACACACATCTGCAGGACAGAATTCCACGGCGTCGGATAAAATTGCAGGATAGATTCAGTCATGGAGTCTTTCGAATCACACCGGTCAATGATCCGAAGGCGCCACTTGCGGGTGCCATGACTGCATGAGAGTACTGAGTAGGTACCTGTCTATGAGCCCGGTGAGACTGCGGTCGTCGGGGTAGCAGGCTTGTGTCCACCGGTTCGTTGGGTGAAAACGCGTAAGACGGTCTCTCACAGAAGGGCTGCAAGGGTCAGTAACCAACGTCCGGCCGCGGATTTTTTTAAGTAGGGAGACAGAGACGTGCCGTGAGCGGCAGAGGTTGACGAACCAATCATAGTCACCGAGGAACGCTAATAACTGACGCTACCCGCGTCATATCTTTAGACAAGTAATCGGGGTCAAATGATGTAGGTGTTCGAAGAGAGTGGGCCAGCAGAGATTGATTGAACCAATCACACCCATCGACGAAAGCTAATAATGTAATCGCTACCTGCGTTGCACCTTTAGACAAGTAATCAGGGTCAAGTGATGTAGGTGTTCGAGAATATTGGGCCAGGGGGCCAAAGAGGTGCTAGGAAGAGCACACACGATTCCAATGTTGGAATGGGGCGCGATAAGTCGTTGGGAGGTAAGAGTAAGATTAGATGAAATTTACACTAATCACGGAGTCTATTGAACAAATTGCGTTTATTGTCCCTGATATGTACCGCTGGAGGGAGTTAGAACAATTGCTGGGAGGGACTGAGAGGTCAACGCGGGATCAAATTTATTGTAGTGGGGTGAGAGAGGTATGACAAAGAGAGTGAGTCTGAGGGAGATTGAGGTATGCGTCATATAGTGTAAGGACCAGCGGGAGATCTAATCTCAGCATTGAGGGCGACATTAAATGGGGGATGTACTCGATTATCTTTGGGATGATAGGCATAAGAAAGGGAGAGAGTGGTGGATAGTTATCAGGTATCAGATGGTAGCTTCAGGTTATGTCCTCAAGGGAGGCATCAAAATTATATGCTTTGGGGAGACATCCGTGTCCTAAATTCCTTATGAGACAGATGCCATCCTAGGCAGTGAAGACTATATGTTGACAAGCGACAAGCCAGCCTCATTATAAATATTGTTTGTGACGAGCCCCAGGCGCAAGGAACGGTGGCGGAGAGGAATCGGTCAGCTTGAAACCAACGGACCGATCAGCAATTGGAAATGGGTGTGTAATTACGTTTGAACAAGAGAGAAATCAAACAGCAAGAAAATCAACTCATTAATCAACCATTTGAGGATCTACCAGCCGAAAACACTCACCTGAGGTTGTTCCAGAGCACGGCGCAGGTCGGCAACCATCTCGGAAAGAAAAACACCCCCGATGAAAGAAATTTTATTAAACCATAATTTTTTTTGAAGACATACTCCCCACCGCTTCCGGACCCCCAGGGGGCACACGTCACAGCTGCTAGTTGAGCCGATATTGAGTCTCTCGTCTCGTGGAGTACCCTTGGATGAATGCTGTCAGGTCCAGCGGCTGAGGAGGTCTTGATCTGGGCGAGCTTCTGTTTTACCAGGTCCTCTGAGATGTCAACGTCCTCTACTACTGGTCCCCTGTACGCGTCCCCGACGTGCGGCATCGGCCGAAGGTCATCCTCGATGCAGACCGAGCTGAAGAATGCGTTCAGCACGGCGGTCTTCTCTTCGTCGTTTACTGTAAGCTGACCCGACTCTGTGCGGAGGTTCTCAACGCCGGTCCTGCTCTTGGTTCTTGAGGCCGAGTACCGCCAGAACGCCTTTGGGTTTGCCTTCAGGTCAGCCGCCAGCTTCCTCTCCAGTTCCTTCCTTAGATTGCGGGTGAGCCGTCTCAGGTCGTTGCTACATCGCTTATAACGTGCAAGGCAGATGTCATCCATGGATTGGGTGTACTGGATCCACAACTTCCGCTTCAGCTTTTTCAATCGCATAGCTTCCCTGTCCATATAGATATTGCGTCTCTTATTAGTTGGTCAAGACCTGGGGATACACTGAGTGCGGCGGCGGATTCGCTGCTGTCGGGTTAAGGCGCTAACACAGGGCTGACCGGCGCTACTTAAGTTTTCGTCCGTTGCGGTCGGGTGCCGCGGTGGGCGGGCGGCCACAGCGGGGGTTCGCCGGTGCATCCCTCTCCTGTTCATAAAAGAAGTGTCCTAGCGCCTTGCAACAAGAACCAACGGATTGCTCTTGACAAGATCTCGCGATTGAGTATATTTTTTTACTTTAAGTCAATATTTGACCTACTTATAGCAGGTCAAAGTCAAGCGTCTGTCGAAATTGCAATCCGCGGTGAAAGCAATCCGCGGCACCCGATCGCGCCGGACAAAAACTTTAATAGCGCCGGCCTGCCCTGTGCTAGCGCCTTAATTCTTTCACGGTGTAGCTCAGAAATGATAAGGGAATGCTATGGTATGGTGCACTAACGGCCACACACTGTGTTAACTGCTGTAGGTGAAACGAAAGCAAATATTTCTCACTAAAACGTTGTTATTGCAACATGATGACAGATGATTAGATCACCGCCAAACTAAAAGAGATATGTTTTTTTGTGACCAGGCATGAAAAGCAGCAGGCTTTAGGGATCATTGCCATGTATAACTTTTGTAGTTTGTATTAAATGAACGCACGCTAGCGGCGTTTGAGCTTGCAAGTATCTGACAGTCATTTTACGACATAGAAAATGTCACGACTTCTGACAATCATACACGAGGCCAGTTTTGCAAAAACATGAAAGCTATGTGATTTCAGATGCACCAAACATTTCTTTGGTTAGCCATACCGCGATTTACTCGGTTTGGTAAACTTAACTTTTTGGTATTTATGGCCACTCGTGAACCCCATTTGCATCACTGTGCAGTGTGCAGTCATGCGCGGGTTAAAGCAGTGCGTTTGCCTACCGGCTGTTCACTAAAAAATGGGACAAATTTGTTTCGTGTGTATTTGGTGAAAACATAACGTCAGTGAAACAAGTTCAGCAGCACTACATTATCCTTCTTCTCCTCTTTCGAACTCTACAGGCTACAGCTCTCGAAGGCCTGTGTTCCCCTTGTCTGCCACAAAGCGGATCTTTGTCCGCGTGCGCCTCCATAGCTTTTGGCACGTGTCTGCAGTGATGCCAGCCATTTGGCGGCGGATTGGCTTGGTCAGCTGCTTCTTGGTCTCTGCTTCATAATCACCAGCGTACACACGTGACTTCAGGAGAGCCCAAAGTCGTTCGATGGGGCGGATTTGTGGTGCCGCTGGTGGGTTATCTTCCTTAGCCACAACAGGTATTTTCAGCTCTTCGAGGGTGGCAAGGACGTCCTTCTGGTAGTGCGCCGGAGCGAGATCTGGCCAGAAAATAACCTTTTTACCACGGTAGTTGGCATCTACAAATTCCTTGAGCCTCGGTAGGCACTGGGTGCTTTAGATGTAGGCGTTCATTGCGCCACTCTCCATGATGGAGGGCTTGCTCAGCCCGTGTTCAGAAAAGACCACCCAAACCACGACTTTTGGCGTGAACTTCTTCACTGTGGCGAACCGCACACCATCCCCGGCTCCAGATGCATCATCTGTATAAAATCCAACATTTCCCGGCTGACTGTGACCTTTCATAGGGAAATATGACTCATCGTCCATGATAATTTGAGTTTTGTTGGTGGGCTTCATAGCGCTCCTTCGAAGCTTGCCACATCTGGTCTTCTGCTTTATTTTTTGGTCCTCTGTGGCCGCCGGAACACGCTTTCGGCGTCTGTAGCGCAACTTCGTCTTAGTGCTAAGTACTTTGCTGATGTAGCTGAGGCTTACACCAAACTTCCGTGCAGCCTTTCGCTGTGAGGCGCCGATATGTTCCTTCATGTACCTTTGTAGGTTTAAGATCTCTTTTGGGGTCATTTTTTCGCCTTTCGACCACTTCCCGGCTTCCTGCTAAGGGAGTCCCCTGTATCAAGCTTTTCCATGATGCGATACAGTGTTGTTTTCGAAATTCCCATCTTTTGGAAGTGTTTGTAAGTAAATGACTTCCCTTTGGACCAGTGCTCTTTATAAAAGGTGCCAATGAGCTTCCTTCGCTGTCTGCCTGTTACCCGTCCATTTTGTCTGGGGCTGATTAAAAATGAATTCAAGCGCGGTCATGTGTTAAAAATGTTGTATTTTCTACGTGCACTAAAAAGCAGTAATCTATCCAGACGCACTTTCAACTGACAGCGCACAGAATATTGTCCCATTTTTTAGTGAACACCCTATACTGACGGCCCTGTCTGTAGCACCGACCCGTGTGATCGTGTGTGTGACTGACCGGTGCGTGTGCGTTGGTCAGATTTACGACTGTAGCCCTGACCGGTGTGTGTGCGTGTGTCTGATGGTCAGATTTACGCTCGGAACAGTCCCAACTCGTGCGTGCTGGACGTGCACCATCAGATGGCCGTCAGCTTCCGGCTGGGGTACCAGGACCTGAGCTGCGACGTGCGCCAAGACCCATCGGGAGTGTTCACTTCGGACATCGTCATACAGGTGGGGGCCGGCCGAGCCGGGTGCGTCCCATCTCACAGCCAGCGCGCATAACAACAGCTGAACACTCGGTGGCCTGTTGGGGGAAGGGGGGGGGGGTGATGCGCCATTTTCTTTAGATGACTGAAGAGTTGCCTCAGGATGTCTCGTTGCGTGAGTTTATATGTATATTACCACATGCCGAGATATCCCTTTAACATTAGCACGTGCTTTTGGGAAAACGTTTTGGCCCGCCTTGCCTGATGTTGAAAGTACATATTTGGGAAACGATTTGGACCTAGGCCATTTTGTTTTCCCAGACAAAGATTACGGAATATTCTGAGCGGAAGGATATATTCCTAATAAGATATTTACGGACTACGGTGTTCACATAGTATTGTCATCAACGTAATTCAACTGAACAAAGGTAATTGTTGCTTGCACTGGCAATGTTTTTATTGCTGCAGAACAGTCAGAATAATCATTATTACTGCATGATAAACGCAAAAACGCACGGTTTAACCCGCGCCGGGCCTGGGGGGTGGGGGTGGGGTGGAATCTGTTTGAACACCCCCCTGCGGTTTTTCGCAGATATCTAAAAAACGGCGGCGCCCTCACGCCGCCGTCGCCATTTTTTGGCACATCTGTTTGTGCATTATTTCCGCACATGTTGTTAAAATTTCAGACCCAGGCTGCTCAAGGTCAGGTCACCAGGTCACGCCAAGTGACATCAACTCAGAAAAAAATTGAAAATACAATCGGCGGTGCGGGACACAACAATTGCAATCGTTCCTTATCCCGTCGCGAAGTCGCCATCCGGCCCATATTTCAGGATTGTCAACCCTGGGACTCGGGTCGGCAATGCACCAGCAAAAAAATCACCTTTAGGTGGGTAAAAAAGTTACTTAGAGTCATTAGTTGTCGTTACGTTCAGTTATACGAGGGGCGTTCAAAAAGTTCTCGGCCCAACCATGAAGGAGTTAAATTTGCGGCCTGTAACGCAGTGTATTTAATGAAGTGTTATTGGGATGTCTACTTACGTAGTCATTAACCAATCTGCCCTGTGATTGGTTCAGGCTGCTAATTAATCATAACATAGTTTGCCATTCCCGGTCAGAATGGGCGACGCCCAGAAGAGAACAGTGATTTGGTTCATGCATTGCAGAAAAATGCACCAAACGTTATTCACGAAAAGCTAGTGCCAACACATGTTGAGGTTTGTCTTTCTTACAGTAGCGTCAAAAAGTGGGCATCTCTGTTCAATTTTGGTCAACAGATCATTAATGGTCACCCCCGCAGTGGCCAGCCATCAATAGCATTGACTCAATAAAATATGAAAAATAAGCACTTCTTTGTGAAAAATGGCAAATGTTCTGGTCTGGAACAACGCAGCAGAAGCGGAGGTGTCTATCAGGCTCCTCAAAGTCATTCTTCAAAAGCGTATTAATATGCTTAATATCTCTGCAAAATGCATCTCCCATTTGCTGACTCCAGAGGAAAGGCAAACTCGAAAGGCGGCGTAACGCGAAAATTTTGGTCCCTATATCGAAGATCCAAAAGAGTTCATTGAACTTCTTGTTACCGTGGAGGGATTGTGGGTGTCACACGTTGACCCTAAGGGCGTGACCGAGTTGCACAAGTGGAAGCACACTGAGTAAAGGGCAAAGGCCACCAAATGTGTGCGACGTGTTGAAGTCAGTCGGCAAGGTGACAGTGGTTGCATTTTGGGATGCTGACGGGGCTCTGCTCGTTAACTTTCTAAAACAGAGGCGCGCAATTGATGATGAATACTACACCTCCCTTCGATAATACATAGTTGCGAGCAGCATATATAGAGGAGAGACTAGGGAAGCTGACGTGCGCCTGATATAGAAGTGTGCGCCTGATCCAGGACCACGCACCAGCACACATGAGCAGGGTGACGATCAGCGAAGCAGTGAGCTGTGGCTTCGAGTAGTTGTCACAGCCACTTTTTTCTTCGTACCTTGCACCCTCTGGTTGCCACCTCTTCCCCAACAAGTTTCTGATGTGGTAAGCTCGTTACTCCGACAGGCGCTCTGACGACCTGGACTACTTGGTTTTACTCTCACATTTTAAAGTGCGCTCCATCAAGTCTAGATTCATACAGTACGATATCATGTTTTTATTCCATATTCATCGTGGGAAGCTGGACAATGATGTGTTAGTCGGTGCGTTCGGTCTTGCCATACCGGCACGGAGGACGAGGAGCACGGTTCTGTGGAACACACCGCGCGCGCGAGTGAACACTGTGCAACGATGCTTGTTTGTCAGGATCCCAGCTGCATGCAACTCATTCTTGCTCCATGACCCGACCACCGACTTCTTTACTGGTAGTTCATACTCATTTAAAACACGCGCTATCGGCTTCACAATTACGCAAGGCACTTTCATGTGATCTTTTACATCATACTTACGTGCTTTACTTTTATTGATCTTGTATGTAGGTACCGTCTATGAGACTTCTTACTTATTAGTCATAGTGTGACCTCTTACTCCTTAGTCATAGTTCTTTCTCATGAATCGATTTTACGTCTAGTGTTCTTGTGATTTTATCTTGTCCTCAATAACTATATACTCCTGCCGATTATAAATTTACCGTATTTATCACATTTTCTTACGTTTATTCTTATGTAGGTACTGTCATCTTGTGTATTGCTTGTGTGTAACTGACTTCGTCAGTAAAAGGGCGATGGGCCTGTTGGCGATCTAATAAATACAGAATACAGAATACAGAATACAGAACATAAGGAAATTGCTGTAATATAAAAAATAAATAGAATATAAAAGACGGTTAACTTCATCCAAAAACCGACTGTCTTTATTCTCCTCAAATCTGCACATCAAATTTTCCATCAGCGTGTTTTTGCGCGAGATAAAATTACTATGCGTTCCGTCAATTACATAAAATACAAATAGAGTGAGGCACCATCAAACACCACCCCCTGACCTTCAAGGGTCACTCTCACTGCGGTGCCGAACCACCCCACATCAAACACCACCCCCTGACCTTCAAGGGCCACTCTCACTGCGGTGCCGAACATCACCAACGTGCCATGGGGTCCCGTCCACTTCCACAATATGAAGTGACGGCACCCTGGTAACAACACCCGGCTGCGACCTATCACCACAGCGTGATCCAGGCTGTCGGACCCACACGGCGTCCCCGACAGTGTAGGCGCTGTCCGTGCCCTCCGGACCGCTGCCGTCCGCTGGATCACCACCAGTGCCAGTGACTGTCCTCACGCTGTCCCTGACCGAGTACCGGTAGATCTGTCCGGCTGGTGTCGTAGCCGAGCTCTGTCCGTCCTGAGGTGTTACGTTGTAAAGATGCACGGCATCGCCAACGGTGCACCCTGTTCTTGCGGCTATGACCTTCACGGTCCGATGATTCCTCTCTACCACACCATTTCCACTTGGGCGGTAGACGGCGCGGAACCTCAGCCGAATTTTCCACTTTGCCGCGAACACTGCAAACGCCCGACTGCGAAAGGCGGTATCATTATCCGCCAGGATCTCTTCTGGAGCTCCACGTTCATTGAAAATTCGATGCAGCTCTTCAATGACGTGCGCTGAATCTGCCCTTCGAAGCAATCTCCACAAACTGAACCTCGAAGGACCGCAGTCGACCACCGACAGGTACAGACTGCGCTGGTGGTGCGTGACGTCAATCGCCAGCCTAGTCCAGGACTCGTTCACCTCCAGCTTCCCAGGCTTCCACTTAACTGGTGCTGGGTCGATAGACCTGCATGCGTCACAGTGGGACACGACAGCACGCGCCTCTCTCCTCGTAATGTTCGGAGAAATCTCGCGCCGAGCGAAGAACAGCGTTCTCCGTACTCCAGGATGGCCTGCGCGGGTGTGCACCTCGCAAACCGCTGCTCGCCGTCCTCTTTCTTCGTCCTCGGTCCCATCTGCCCCGACGCCATCGCCGCCATCACCGCTCGTGCTGGAGCTATCTTCATCACCGCTGGTGCACTCAGCATTCACCGCAGCACCACACGTCCCAGCGGACTCTCCGTTCAGTGGACCGCGCAGCCACTGAGCGGGAACCCGGCTGAGGCAGTCCGCTTTGTTGTCCGCCGACTTCACCAGAGTCACTGTCAGATGCAGGTTGAATTCGGCCACCAACTGCTTGACTATGTCGACTCGGCGCCGTATCAGCATTTCCCCGTGGGCCTTAGTGCGGAGACGTGCTCGGCTACTTAATGCATCGTCGAGCCAGCGATGAACAGTGGCCGAGTCCGTTTTCAGCTCGATGACTCGCATGCCCCAGGCGATAGCTAGATTGATGCCTCGCAGGGCGGCATCGAGCTCTGCCATATTTATGTGAGTCGTCTCATCCTTTCGAAGCCAGCATCCGTCTTCGATGATGTTTCCATCTTGCGTCTCCAGAGTGATTCCCGCCGCCACAGAGGAGGCGTCCGTCCACACGACAGCACTGTCTCCACTGACGTGCCAGTGACCTCGCGCTGGATCATCCTTCACCATCCGCTTAGCCACGTACATCATCTGCTCGCGCAGCTCTGGATCGTCGGTAACATCGTCCCAGTGGTGAGTCACAGCATTGACTCGACGTTTCAGCCAGGCCGCCGCCGGCCTCAGCCAGCCGCACACTGGCATGTGCGCCACCAGACGTCCGCACCAGGAGAACACAGCGCGGCGTGTCATGACATCAGGAGGGGCACCGACTGCGTTATCCCGAGTCCAGTGGAGATCACCGTCTCCTGCGACTCCAACCCGCAGGCCCAGCAGCCGTGCTCCGTCCTGGACTCTCTCTGGAGGCTTGCACTCCAGGCCGTACTTAGAGAAGTGCTCCACTACACGATCGGCCGTAACAATGTCCTCATCGACACACAGGTCGTCCACGTACGGTATTGTGGCGCGCTCCACATCGGCGTCTTGGCTGAGGACCGCTTGCACCACCTTCTTCATCATCAGCGGGGCCACGTTCAATCCGAACCCGACCCTCGTCAACGCATAACGCCGTCCGCCGACAATCACGG